ACGAGCCTCGGCAGCCCGAGCAACGAGCTCGGTATTTTCCCGCCAAAAAAGTTGGCCACCAACACAATTCTCCTCATGCTCCTCATCCCATCGAACGAGTCGTTCGGGATTTCCCCTCCGAACCCATTGTTCGCAAGAAAAAGGCTCCTCAGCTTCCCGAGCCGCCTCAAACCGCTCGGGAAACTGCCCGAGAGGTTGTTGTGCATGAAGCTTAGGGTGAGAAGGGGCAGCTCGGTCAACGGGCCCAAGTCGATTTCTCCGCGGAGGCCCATGTTCTCGAGCCTAAGCCCGATTAGAGAGCCGTTGGAGCAAAGCAGGCCGGCCCAGTTGGGTTTGTTGCGTGTACACAGCGAGTTTTCAACAGGCTCGCGCCAGCTGTCGAGTGCGAACGAGGTATCGGTTAGGGATTGCTTGAATTTGAGGAGGGATTTGGCGTATGCCGTGTCGTCGGAGTACGACGGGCCTGCGCAGATGGAGAGCAGTGATAGGATGGCGATCGAGAGACGAGCGGTGTGGTGGGCCATATGTGTGTGTGTGTGTACGTGTGTGTTTTGAGGGAAATGTATAAGTTTAGTTTAGTTGTGAAGAGTGGTTTTTTTTTTGCAGAGGGAGGCATGTTATAATGGGGTTGAAGAATTTGGTTAGCTGTTTTCTTAGCCAGCTTGGATCTTTAATCTTTTTTTTTTAAAAAAAAAAAGTTATGTTTATTCATTTATTTATTATTTTATTATATGTTAGGCAAGATTTGGAAGATGATTACATGATTTCTTGGTGAGAAGACCACATTTACTTGTAAACAGTGATGGGTTTGTTTTGTGTGATTATTACATAAAAAAGCAAGAAATGACTTGTAAACTTATTAGTCCAGCATGTACCCTTCTTCTCTATAAAGCTGAAACAAAATGGTGAAAACATGTAAATAAGAAGCTGCCGATTGATATATGCGCACAAATATATATCTTTGCTCTAAAAAAAGTGCAATATTCATGGACAAAACATCCTTCTACAGCACCAAAACCTTCAATACATCCTTTCTGAGAAGCCATTTTTAACGAAGTCGAGTGCTCCAAGCTAACCAAATGATGGTATCAAACGAACATTTCGAGCAAGAGGAAAAATAAAATAAATCATGCCACTAGGAAAAAGAAAAGAAGAAGAAGAAGCAGAAGAGAAAGAAAGAAAAAGAAAAAAAGGAGCTTAAAGCCACTATGCTCAGGTCTCGATCATGGGTTCTGGACCAGATGACTCTACAAGAGATTTGTTGGACTGCCGTACGGAGTTGAAAAGAATGTCCTTGATGACCTGGAAGACAGAAATTTATATACGTGATGTCAAGGTTTTTTGTTCGACACAAACATGATATTACTTTTTAAGCTAATACTATTCGAAATTGTTTGATGAAGGGGGCAAGAGAAGGCAATCAGACTTCACCTGTGACATCAAACCATGAACCTGCTCCACAGTTATCTTTGCGCTATCACGAGTGATCTTAGAAAGTTGAGACTCTTCCTGGAATAAATAAAATATATAAAAAGTTACAATATAACCGAGACTCAGTACTAAAAGGAAAGATTTATGCCGTGAGAAAGATTTCACCTCTTTCTTTCTTTGAGGTGTTGCAATCAAGGAACCAAATCGTGAATGAGATAATTGATTTTCAGCTTGCTCTATTTTCTCGGCTGCAAGAAAATCAAAAGTATTAAATGTACTGGCCTTGTGCAACGGAATTATATACTTGCACCATACATGCAAGAAAACTACCTAAATCTGAGATTTGGCCAGCAACATAGTCTCCATTTCCGAGCAGAGGAGAAGAAGAAAGTGTGTTCACCCAATACTTATTCCACAATAGATCCAGAAGATGGCAATCAAGAGATGATTTGAAATATGTGATGTCCAATGCATAATACTGTATATATGAAGATTTATCTAAGTGACAATTTGCAAAGAGTTGTAAAAGAACAATCAAAATAATATAGATATGCAATTATGTTCAAGGGCGTTTGTTATCAAAACCTGTTTACAATGCACTCCAAAGTCCTCAATTTTGTTCAAGGGGATTGTTTGATACTCAGAAACGGGCTCATCTGGAGGCTTGTACCCCTCAGGGTATGTCCTAAACGCGCCAATATCAACTTTTCCAGCAGAAACTGTCCTTGTTGGGTCAATAACAACAGCTAGAAAAGGCTCCTGGAATTGCTGGTTAAGCATTTGTGTCGATACATCTATACCAGAAAGCCAACATCCATAACCTGGATGAGAATGATACCATCCAACTACATTTTCCAAGCGACCCGCCTTTCAAAACATTGAAATTTCAGGGTAATTCAGGATAAAAAGAAAAAAAAAAAAAGAAAAAACATTTAGTAATTATATTGCAGGTCAAGCACATAAACATCGCAGCATCAGAAAAATTAAACACAAAGATTCATTTATTCAATAGCAAGACAGTACAGAATTTGAAAAAAATAAAAAACGTACAACATCCCATAATTTGCTAAATCTGCAACAAAGAAAGAACGCACATTGACATCTAGTTGATCATAGAAGATAACGCCAAACCAAAGTACTTGATTTCATTTCGCAATTTGAACCACGAATGATCAAACAATAGTGACTTAGCTTGATATAACTCTTCATCATTCATAAGTTCTTTATTAGGTGACACAAACTTATTCCCCCTTTTCAGAGAACACTCAAGTTTCCAAATAACACTAAAAGAACTTCTGTGAGATACATAAATAATCGCTGGCCACATCAAAATGAGAAGAACGTTGTGTGTGATATGGATAAACAAATATGCTTCTGAAGAACCCTAGGTCAGCACAAAACTTATTAAACTAAACTCAAAAAATAATCTACCCATGGAGGTCTTTTTCATCAGACACATATCTAGCCCACCATTAAAATACCAATGCCTGCAACAACTCAAAACAATATATGAGTATATCAATGGGAGGTCTAACAAAGCTACATTATTTATCATCATATAAGGACACTTGTGTGAGGACCTGTAGAATTGCTTGTGTGGTAAAACTCGTTAAAATTCTTTGGGGGACAACACATCCAGAAACTATGCCCTAACCACACCCTCTGTAAAGCTACTCTCATACAAAACACCACTCCAAAAGCTTCCTATAAACATCAAAATTCAGCCACAATCACAGCCACCAGCAATCAAGACAACAGAAAAGAAATTGAAGGCACGAGGGGGAGCATAGAAACCTGCTTATTCGTCTGCGAATAATCAACCATGTACTCATACGCATCGGCCTGAGCGTTAACCCTAGTCTCGGTACCCTCAACGGGAAGTGCAAAGGCATCCATCACGATAATCGCGTCCCCGTCGGTCTTCCCCTGCATAAGCCCCATGACCTCAATCGTGCCGCCGGAGCGCGCGTGGACGACCATCTTGAGGAGCGCGAGCGCCGATATCCTCACGCGCTTGAAGTAGTGCGGGTCGTTGGTCCAGGGCTTCTCCTGCTGGAACTTGGCCTGGGCCGCCTCGTCGTAGTAGAATATGGCGTCCGACGCGGCGGAGGAGGACGACGCCGACGCCGACGCCGACGCCGCCGAGGACGGATCTCCGGAGGCAGAGGCGGTCTCCACGATGTTGTTCTCCAGTTCCCACGTCTGCCGAGCAATCGCCGAGGAGGAGAAGGGATCCATGGCGAAGAGGGTTTTTAGAGAGGGGAAGCTGCTGCTTTTGCTGTTTTTGTTTGGGCGATGGTTTTTTATTTGAAATGAATAAAGGTGCAACAAAATTGATGAATTAGACATTTTATTTATGATAATTATATTTTTCGTATGCTACAAATTTCAGGGTGAAAGCGAGTCGAGCTCCAGCTCATGCTGCTCGAACTCAATTTTGAGCCAAAATCGAGTCAAATTATAAAAAAGTACATAAAAATCATCTTTTCTAGTGTTATCGAGCCGAGCTCGACTTGTTGACTGAACAAGCTTTAAATGAACTCGAGTTCGGCTAGTTTCAGCCGAGCAATTCATTTAATTTAACAACTGTATACAAATTACAATAGTCCATAAGTCAAAATTGATGTGTATTCGAGTTTGGAGTCCATGGACTTGTTAGGCAGTCACCAGTTAGTTATAACTAAGCTGATAACAAATAACTTATTGTATTAAAATATAGTTGTCACCAGTTAGTTATAACTAAGCTGATAACAAATAACTTATTGTATTAAAATATAGTTGATAGCGCAATGTAATAGCTAATTTGACAAACATATTATATTAGTTGTTTGTAAATAATGGATTTTATAACTATTTTGAAAATTTTCATGTTATTCTACTAACCTTTTTCTATAAAAGCACTCTAAAAACGCTCATATATTGAGATTTTTTCCGAATTAGAGTTTGAAATATAAATTCTAATCAAATAAACTGTTGTCAAACAAGTTAATTAACGGATTTGACGAGTCAAACTTTTAAATGTGATTCAATCCATTAATTTTACATCAATCCGTTAACATCCAAAATCCATATTTAGTGTAAATTTAGAGCTCCATTGTGTGTGTTTTTCTTTATATTTTTAATGCATTTTTTTGATAAAAAAATTCCATCTTCCCGAAGTGTCGATTATCCATAATTATTATCATACCATTAAAAAGAGGAATGAAAATGAATTATCATACCATTAAAAAGAGAAACGCAGGCCTCTCTAAAAACAGTCACAACTAAATAAAACAACCAAAATTGAATTATCCAAAGCCAAGAAAAGTGCAGGTATCTCTAAAAATACTTGACCCTAAAGATTGTTTCCACCTGATAATCCACAGATTTCAAAAAATATGTACTTACCAACTCATTTAACTATACTTCTGATTCTCTGCATATTTGCTTGTCTTATCATTTATGAGAACCACTTGTGTCACTATCGATTTCAATCACGAAAGGTATTTCCTTGCGAGTTTCACGTGAAAGCTCTCGATTGGCAACCGAGTTGCTTACAACCGTCGATTTTCTGGGAGATGAATTGGACCTAGACACAAAAAAAAACACCATCGTCTAAGAAAATAAATATTGCAATTCGAATGGCTATATTTTACATGTTGTTTTATCATATGTGGAACTTTACATGGCTTGATAATTGAGATGACGAAAAACCATTTACATACATTATTTTAGCTAACTCAGTGAAACGAGTCCCACTTATCTTAGTCGAGTGCGTATCTGCAAAAGAGAGATTGAGATGAACGCGTGAGAATTTAGTTCAAAGCGTATAACACGAGCAGATGCTATTACACGAAAAAAATAAAATAAAATAAAATAAAAAATAAAAAATAAAAAACTTACAGGGAAATTAGTATCGAATTTAAAGATACATAACAAAAACATGCAATTTGCAAAAGAGGATAAAGAAAAAAAGTAAAAAAACTGACCTACAATGGCAGATGCTACTTTATCAGCTCCAGGAAGTTCCTGCAGCATATATATCATCAGATTGCAAATAATCCAGAAATGTCAATTAGATTGTATTTCAAGCACAATCTACTTCTGGAAACAATAAAAAATTCATTATCTGCAGAACAAGCAGAAAAAAAGAAACAGGAAATTTGATTAAACCAATTGTCAAACTCACAGAAAATGACATAAAATCCGATAAAATCGTGAAGCTTTGACAGTAGTGATAAATCTTTATATATGCTAAAACCAAATGTAGTGGAGTTATGATTACAGGTCCTTCGTACCGAGTTAGTCACTGGAATCGGCCTCTTTTTCTTCTCTTGGAACCATTTTCTTGCATCCTGAGCAGCTTGATTGAATATGTCGGCGCCTTTTTTTTATTAAAAATGAAACGAGTTGTTAATAATAAAGATTTTAACTGTAGGATTGTGATTTTTGAGTTGTGACTACTTCTGCACCTGCTTCTGTTGATGATCCCGTAACTCGTGAATTAAGAACTTCTATCAGCCCAGTGCACTCTTCCCTGGAAAAAATATCAAAGGTGAATCTTTTGGATAATGAGATACTAAAGGGGATATAATTAGTCAAACCCGCGTCATATTGCTCGATACTTTTTCCATCAACGGTAAATTAAAATCCTAAATGAACGTGTCACAAGGTTTAACTGGTCAATAATTGGAGAATTTTTTGTCCGTACATCGAGTTGGAACAATATTACTCATCAGTTTACTGAAAACATATAACTAACATGAAAAAAGATTCCACAACGAAATTAAACTTCAAATACCATGATTATCGGAGAATTTCCAGTATATGAATACATGTAAAGTATAATAACCATAAAATTCTGGGGCAAAGATAAACAAGGAACTTAAAGGTTTTGGCAGTTACCTTGAAAAAGACTCCTGCATTATGAGCTGCTCTATTAAGTGCTTGTTTTCGGTTTTGTGAACAATGACTTGAGATTCTTGCCTATGTTGCGAAATTTCCGGAAGAGGCGCCTACCGGAAAAATCATTATAAAAGATAGGAGACGCGTTTATAATTTTACCGACAAATCATAATAGACTGAAAATTAATGTATCCGCCATGTTATCAAGCATGCACTAAACAATCTACACATGCCATTAACCACAAAATATAAGAAATCGTACGTTCGAGACTCCAGTCAATCCACTATTATTATACCCGACCAACACTAATTGTTTTCTCGCTATCCGACACACATCACATCTCTATTTATTGATCAAACCGTACACCCATGCAGAAGTTAAAAAGTAAGGGATTCTTCTGAACTGACCCAAACCATAAGTTCCGATCTCACCAATAAATCGGTAGGTAACCATTATACCGACTTAACTACTTTTTACAAATAAACATACTTTCACTATAAAATGTCGTACCACAAAAAAAACAACACAAAGAAAATCATGACATTTGATAGCATAAGTATGCACTTTTGTACATAAAAGTATAACGGGTAGACCCGCCAAACGGTTAGACTCTCTCACATAAGAACTTGGGTCGATCGGTTCAAAACAGCAGCTTACCACGTTTGGCTCATTCTCTACATTAGAACCGGTTTCATGCCCATTAACATTGTCTGGCTCACCATCATCTGCCAAACAAGAGCTCAAAAGGATGAAGAAGAAAACAGAAACAAAGACAAAGCCCACAAAATCGTGCCAGAAAACCTGGCTCATACGCATAAACAATCACATTCTCTTTCTGTCAACCTCGTATTCAATAGAAATCACACCTTTACATTTAACAATCAACCCTAATTTGTATCCAAACTCAACTGCAACTTTTGAATCACACTGCATACAAACTATACTCGCTAAGCCCACTTACAAACAATTGTATTGAGGCAAGAAAAGGAGAAAATAAAACATCGGACGAACTTCGAATGTGCACCTGACTCTGATTCGCCGTCCCAATCAGACGATGATTCCTCGCTCTCAGAGAAGACGGCGGTCAAGATTGAACCTGCTAACGCGCGAGCGGGACGAGCAATCACATCCGCAAGCCAGTGGAGGGTTTTGGGCGGGGGCCTCCGCCGCCGCCGTCGGACGGAGGCGCCGCCGGAGCTAGAATCGGTTATGGCTGCCATTTGGTGGAGAACTTAAAACGAAAAAGGCGCTGTGTGTATGGCTCTGTCACCTCTGTGGTTTGTATAAAAGATTTTGGGGGCAATTTTATTTTTTATTTATTAATTTTGGATTTTAGAATTATAAATAATTAAATATAAATATTAGATTAGATACCTATGGTAAAAGGAGATCAAAAGTTCAAAATGATTTGGTAAAACTCGGATTTAGTTGGATAAGATTTCAATTAATCTTTTCATATCACTATACTTATACGATGAATCAAATTCAATATCAACTGTAATTCAATATTATCAGCTCGCATAATATTAATTACTCATCACTTCCGGTCAACTATATATACGTTTCTACCGAATCAACTTTAATCATTTTTTTTTTATTAAATACAAACTCAAAATCCCGCTCGAACAAAACTCAGCCAACTTTCTTAAATTAATTATGGTTTATATGATGCTTTAGAGTTGTAATAACCTAAGCTTACAAGAGACCTGTTTCATTTAATTTATACTAGTTTTAACTCAGTGCATTTGTACGAAAAGCGATATAATACAGAAGAAAGTAATGAGAAATATAGACAAAAATCAAAATTATAAATTAATTAATGAGAAAAAAAATGATTGAAGAAAGTGAATGTAGATATTATTAAACATTTATTTATATACAGCATTCGTGGTTTTTCTATCGTCAGAATCTCATCACCACAAATCATTATTTTCAAACCCCTCTGACCCCCGTGCCCCTATAAAGAGCCACGTAAGTGCCCATAACTGAATGCACGACTCTTCAATAGTAACACGACGTGCGACATAGACGGGTCTTGACTCTTATTAATTGTCATAGCATATGAAGGGAGCAAAAACTGTCTACGCTGATACTTGAATGGTACCCTCAAAAAAATTATATATTATCAACATCTACAATAAAAAATGATACTAAAACATAATTAATGGTTCAGTTAGAGATGTTAAGCAGGCTAGTCCTAGAGCTAGACAGTCCAGGCCTAAAAAGACCGAATTTAAATAGATTACCAATAAAGAGACGTGAGTTAAACGGGCTCTAGTAATAATAATAATAATAATAATAATAATAATAATAATAATAATAATAATAATAATAATAATAACAATAATAATAA